GCCCGGGGGAAGATTCAGTACAGGTAGTCCTTGACTTATGGCCACAACCGAGCCCCAAATTTATGGCGTTAAGCGAGACATCAGTTAAGTGAATTTTACCCCGTTTTAGGAACTTTTTTGCCATGGTGGCTACGGGAATCACTGCCGTTGGTAAGTTAGTAACTCGCTTGTTAAGTGAATCTGGCTTTCTCATTGACTTTGCTTGTCAGAAGGTCGCAAAAAGGGAATCACACAACCCATGGGGCACCGCAACAGTCATAAGTATGAACCAGGTGCCAAGCGTCTGAATTTTGATCACACGATCACGGAAAGGCCGTAACTGTGAAAAACGGTCGTAAATCACTTTTCTTCAGTGCCGCAATGACTTTGGACAGTCGCTAAATGAACCGTTGTAAGTCGAGGACTACCTGTGATGACAACCAAGCGCGCCTATGGATGCATCAAAGCTAAGGAAGGCTTCCCAAAGTGTATAGCCACCTTTCTGAACTCAAGACTGGTCAACCTTGCTCGACTGGCACCATCCAGATGTGCAGCGAGATGCTGGGGAACTTGCAGATTGAACCCAACGGAACCCAGTTTGGAGAAGCTGATCTCAGCATGGAGGGAATGTCTGCCAGGTGTTGGACTGGTGTCCCCCCTCCTTGATCCAGATGTTGGACTGGTGTCCCTCTCCTTCCTCCTCCTCCTCCTCCTCCTCCTCGCTCACTCCTGTATCCCTGATCCTGGCATCTTAGTGCATTTGATTTAAGCACAGAGGGAATGTCTGCCAGATGTTGGACTGGTGTCCCACTTCTTGTTCCAGATGTTGGACTGATGTCCCTCTCCTTCCTCCTCCTCCTCCTCACTCACTCACTCACTCCCCGATCCCCGATCCTGGGCATCTTAGTGCATTTGATCTAAGCATGGAGGAAATGTCTGCTAGATGTTGGACTGGTGTCCCCTCCTTGTTCCAGATGTTGGACTGGTGTCCCTCTCCTCCTCCTCCTCCTCCTCCCTCCTCCTCCTCCTTGCTCACTCTCGGATCCCTGATCCTGGCATCTTAGTGCATCTAAGCACAGAGGGAATGTCTGCTAGATGTTGGACTGGTGTCCCCCTCCTCCTTCTTGCTCACTCCCGTATCCCTGATCCTGGGCATCTTAGTGCATTTGATCTAAACATGGAAGGAATGTCTGCTACATGGTGGACCGGTGTCCCACTTCTTGTTCCAGATGTTGGACTGGCGTCCCTCTCTTCCTCCTCCTCCTCCTCCTCCTCCTCGCTCACTCCCATCCCTGATCCTGGCATCTTAGTGCATTTGATCTAAGCATGGAGGGAATGTCTGCTACATGGTGGACGGTGTCCCACTTCTTGTTCCAGATGTTGGACTGGTGTCCCTCTCCTCCTCCTCCTCCTCTCTCCTCCTGATCCTGGCCTCTTAGTGCATCTAAGCACAGAGGGAATGTCTGCTTGTTCCAGATGTTGGACTGGTGTCCCTCTCCTTCCTCCTCCTCCTCCTCCTCCTCCTCCTCCTCCTCCTCCTCCTCCTCCTCCTCGCTCACTCTTGGATCCCGATCCTGGCATCTTAGTGCATTTGATCTAAGCACAGAGGGAATGTCTGCTAGATGTTGGACTGGTGTCCCTCTCCTTCCTCCTCCTCCTCCTCGCTCACTCTCGGATCCCTGATCCTGGCATCTTAGTGCATTTAAGCACGGAGGGAATGTCTGCTAGATGTTGGACTGTGTCCCCCCCTTCCTTGTTCCACATGTTGGACTGGTGTCCCCCTCCTCCTCCTCGCTCACTCTTGGATCCCGATCCTGGCATCTTAGGGCATTTGATCTAAGCACAGAGGGAATGTCTGCTAGATGTTGGACTGGTGTCCCACTCCTTATTCCAGATGTTGGACTGGTGTCCCTCTCCTTTCTCTTCCTCCTCCTCCTCCTTGCTCATTCTCGTATCCCTGATCCTGGCATCTTAGTGCATTTGATCTAAGCATCTTAGTGCATTTGAACTAAGCACGGAGGCCAGATGTTGGACTGGTGTCCCACTTCTTGTTCCAGATGTTGGACTGGTGTCCCTCTCCTTCCTCCTCCTCCTCCTCCTCGCTCACTCTCGGATCCCGATCCTGGCATCTTAGTGCATTTGATCTAAGCACAGAGGGAATGTCTGCTAGATGTTGGACTGGTGTCCCCCCTCTCCTTGTTCCAGATGTGGACTGGCTTCCCTCTTCTTCCTCCTCCTCCCCTCACTCACTCACTCAGTCACCCCCCCTGATCCCGATCCTGGCATCTTAGTGCATTTGATCTAAGCACGGAGGGAATGTCTGCTAGATGTTGGACTGGTGTCCCTCTCCTTCCTCTTCCTCCTCCTCCTCGCTCACTCTCGGATCCCTGATCCTGGCATCTTAGTGCATCTAAGCACAGAGGGAATGTCTGCTTGTTCCAGATGTTGGACGGTGTCCCCCCCCACTTGTTCTAGATATTGGACTGGCGTCCTTCCTTCCTTCCTCCTCCTCCTCCTCCTCCTCACTCACTCACTCCCCCCCCCCCCCGATCCCTGATCCTGGCATCTTAGTGCATTTGATCTAAGCACAGAGGGAATGTCTGCTAGATGTTGGACTGGTGTCCCTCTCCTTCCTCCTCCTCCTCTCTCCTCCTCACTCACTCCTGTATCCCCTAATCCTGGCATTTTAGTGCATTTGATCTAAGCACGGAGGGAATGTCTGCTAGATGTTGGACTGGTGTCCCACTTCTTGTTCCAGATGTTGGACTGGTTTCCCTCTCCTTCCTCCTCCTCCTCCTCCTCCTCGCTCACTCTCGGATCCCTGATCCTGGCATCTTAGTGCATCTAAGCACAGAGGGAAGATGACTGGTGTCCCACTTCTTGTTCCAGATGCTTGGACTGGTGTCCCTCTCCTCTTCCTCCTCCTCCTGATCCTGGCATCTTAGTGCATCTAAGCACAGAGGGAATGTCTGCTTGATCCAGATGTTGGACTGGCGTCCCTCTCCGTCCTCCTCCTCCTCCTCCTCCTCCTCCTCGCTCACTCTTGGATCCCCAATCCTGGCATCTTAGTGCATTTGATCTAAGCACAGAGGGAATGTCTGTTAGATGTTGGACTGGTGTTCCCCCCTACTTGTTCAAGATGTTGGACTGGTTTCCCTCTCCTTCCTCCTCTCCTCCTCCTTGCTCACTCTCGGATCTCTCATCCTGGCATCTTAGTGCATCTAAGCACAGAGGGAAGATGACTGGTGTCCCACTTCTTGTTCCAGATGTTGGACTGGTGTCCCTCTCCTCCTCCTCCTCCTCCTCCTGATCCTGGCATCTTAGTGCATCTAAGCACAGAGGGAATGTCTGCTTGTTCCAGATGTTGGACTGGTGTCCCTCTCCTTCCTCCTCCTCCTCCTCGCTCACTCTCGGATCCCTGATCCTGGCATCTTAGTGCATTTAAGCACGGAGGGAATGTCTGCTAGATGTTGGACTGGTGTCCCCCCCTTCCTTGTTCCACATGTTGGACTGGTGTCCCCCTCCTCCTCTCCTCCTCCTCCTCCTCCTCCTCCTCGCTCACTCTTGGATCCCCGATCCTGGGCATCTTAGTGCATTTGATCTAAGCACGGAGGGAATGTCTGCCAGATGTTGGACTGGTGTCCCTCTCCTTCCTCCTCCTCCTCCTCGCTCACTCTCGGATCCCTGATCCTGGCATCTTAGTGCATCTAAGCATAGAGGGAATGTTTGCTAGATGTTGGACTGGTGTCCCCCCTCCTTGTTCCAGATGTTGGACTGGTGTCCCTCTCCTTCCTTCCTCTTCCTCCTCCTCCTCCTCACTCACTCACTCACCCCCCCCCGATCCCCGATCCTGGGCATCTTAGTGCATTTGATCTAAGCACAGAGGGAATGTCTGCTAGATGTTGGACTGGTGTCCCTCTCCTTCCTCCTCCTCCTCCTCCTCCTCACTCACTCCTGTATCCCTAATCCTGGCATTTTAGTGCATTTGATCTAAGCACGGAGGGAATGTCTGCTAGATGTTGGACTGGTGTCCCACTTCTTGTTCCAGATGTTGGACTGGTTTCCCTCTCCTTCCTCCTCCTCCTCCTCCTCCTCGCTCACTCTCGGATCCCTGATCCTGGCATCTTAGTGCATCTAAGCACAGAGGGAATGTCTGCTTGTTCCAGATGTTGGACTGGTGTCCCCCCCCCACTTGTTCTAGATATTGGACTGGCGTCCCTCTCCTTCCTCTCCTCCTCCTCCTCCTCCTCCTCCTCCTCCTCCTCCTCCTCCTCCTCGCTCACTCCCATATCCCTGATCCTGGCATCTTAGTGCATCTAAGCACAGAGGGAATGTCTGCTAGATGTTGGACTAGTGTCCCACTTCTTGTTCCAGATGTTGGACTGGTGTCCCTCTCCTCCTCCTCTTCCTCCTCCTCCTCCTCGCTCACTCTCGGATCCCTGATCCTGGCATCTTAGTGCATCTAAGCACAGAGGGAATGTCTGCTTGTTCCAGATGTTGGACCGGTGTCCCCCCCCCACTTGTTCTAGATATTGGACTGGCGTCCCTCTCCTTCCTTCCTCCTCCTCCTCCTCCTCCTCCTCGCTCACTCTTGGATCCCCGATCCTGGCATCTTAGTGCATTTGATCTAAACACAGAGGGAATGTCTGCTAGATGTTGGACTGGTGTCCCACTTCTTGTTCCAGATGTTGGACTGATGCCCCTCTCCTTCCTCCTCCTCCTCCTCCTCGCTCACTCTCGGATCCCTGATCCTGGCATCTTAGTACATCTAAGCACAGAAGGAATGTCTGCTAGATGTTGGACTGGTGTCCCCCCCTTCCTTTTTCCAGATGTTGGACTGGCGTCCCTCTCCTTCCTCCTCCTCCTCCTCACTCACTCACTCCCGGATCCCCGATCCTGGCCATCCCGACTTCGGCGAGGTCCCCTTTCCTCCTCTTTCTCCCCCTCCCCCGCAACCCCTCAGCCCGGCACCCCGGGCTCTTCGACGACCCCCCCCCAGCCCCAAACCCCGCCGGCCTTACCGGAGCTGAGCTGCATCCAGGCGCAGATCTTGTAGACGGTGGCGGTGTTGCAGAAGAAGAAGAGGGCGAAGGAGCCGATGCAGGCGATGACGAGCGTCATGGAGAGCCCGATGAAGAAGGAGGCGGCTTTGAAGGCGCCCGACGGGAGGCCGGCGAAGTCCGCGAAGCTGCCCTGGCAGGTGAGTTCCCGGGAGACGCCGCTGCCGGTGCAGAAGTGGAAGAGGCCGAAGTAACCGGCTTGCGGGGTCTCCACGCCGTCGCCGATCCAGTAAGGCTGGAAGAAGCAGACCACGTTGACGATGGCGAAGCAGATGGTGAAGATGGCCCACAGCACCCCGATGGCCCGCGAGTTCCGCACGTAGTTGGCGCGGTAGAGCTTGGCCGCTTCGTCCGGGGGAAGCAGAGCCCCGGGCATCCCCGACGACGACGACGACGACGACGCCGCCGCAGCCGGGAGCCCGCTAGAGACGGCCGCAGACGCGCCGGGCATCCTGAAGCCCCTTCCGACCACCCTCGCCTGCCGGGCCAAGACCGGCTTCTGCCCCCCCAAAAGAAAAAAACAGGGTCACGCCGGGGGAAGAGGCGGCCGAGGCTGCATCGGGGCGAGGGTCGCGGGAGTGGTGCTCCTCCCGGTTTGGTGCCCGGAGAGGGATGGAGGGATGGAGGGATGGAGGGATGGAGGAGGCAGCAGCAGCAGCAGCAGCAGCACCAGCCCGCCGCCGAGCCCCGGCGCGGCACAAGCGCACCAAACGCTCCCCCTAGCGCAGCTCTGGAGCTGGCCAGCCAAGGCTGACTTCGCCCGCTGCTGCGCAATCGCGGCTGGGCTGGAGGATGGGGGGGGGGAGAGAGAGGGAATGAGAATGAGAGGGAGGGAGGGAGGGAGAGAATGAAAGAGAAGGAGAGAGAAGGAGAAAGTGTGGGGGGGGGGAGAGAGAGAAGGAGAGAGGAGAGATGATATGAGGAGAACGAGAGAGAGAGAGAGAGGGAGAGAGGGAGAAAGAAAGAGGGAGAATGAAAGAGAAGGAGAGAGAATGAGAAAGTGGGGGGGGGAGAGAATATGAGAGAGAGAGAATGAGAGAGAGAGAGAATGAGAGAATGAGAGAGAGAATGAGAATGAGAGGGAGGGAGAGAATGAAAGAGAAGGAGAGAGAACGAGAAAGTGGGGGAGGAGAGAGAATGAGAGAGGAGAGAGGAGAGAGAGAGAGAGAATGAGAGAATGAGAGAGAGAATGAGAGAGGGAGAAAGAGAGAGGGAGAATGAAAGAGAATGAGAGAGTGAATGAGAGAGAGAATGACAGAGAGAGGGAATGAGAGAGGGAATGAGAATGAGAGGGAGGGAGGGACAGAATGAAAGAGAATGAGAGAGAGAATATGAGAGAGAGAGAGAATGAGAGAATGAGAGAGAGAGAATGAGAATGAGAGTGGGAGGATGGAGAGAGAGAATGAGAATGAGAAAATGAGAGACAGAGAATGAGAGAGAGAATGAGAGAGGGAGAAAGAGAGAGGGAGAATGAGAAAGAATGAGAAAGTGGGGGAGAGAGAATGAGAATTTGAGGGGAGAGAATGAGAGAGAGAATGAGAATGAGATGGAGGGAGGGAGGGAAGGAGGAGAGAGAACGAAAGAGAATGAGAGAGAGAATGAAAAGTGGGGGGGAGGAGAGAGAGAATATGAGAGAGAGAATGAGAAAATGAGAGACAGAGAATGAGAGAGAGAATGAGAGGGAGGAAGAGAGAGGGAGAATGAAAGAGAATGAGAGAGTGAATGAGAGAGAGAATGAGAAAGTGTGGGGGGGGAGAGAGAGAATATGAATGAGAGAAGAGAGAGAATGAGAATGAGAAAATGAGAGACAGAGAATGAGAGAGGGAGGAAGAGAGAGGAAGAATGAAAGAGAATGAGAGAGTGAATGAGAGAGAGAATGAGAGAGAGAGAATGAGAAAGGGAATGAGAATGAGAGGGAGGGAGGGTGAGGGAGAGAGAGGGAGAATGAAAGAGAATGAGAAAGAATGAGAGAGGAAATGAGAGTGAATGAGAGAGAGAATGAGTGGGGGGGGAGGGAGAGAGAGAATGAGAATGAGAAAATGAGAGAGAGAGAGAGAATGGGAGAGAATAATGAGAGAGAGAGAGAGAGATGGAGAGAATGAGAGAGAATAAGAGAGAGAGAGAGAGAGAGAATAAGAGAGAGACAGAGCGTAACCAGGAAGCCGGCCCTGCACCCGAAATAGCCCCCCACCCCCCACCCAACCGGAGCTGCCTCCCTCCCACTTCCTCCTTGTGGACTCCCGCGAGTGTGGGAGCAACAGGAGGAGGCGTGTTAAGGAGGGCGGCGGGGGGGGGGGAAAGACAAGGGGCGTTTTTGGGGGGGTTGGGGGTTGAAAGCTGTGGGGAGTGGGATGCATGCAACAAATGGCCGGAGGAGCAGTAGCTGCTGTTTAAATGCAGTGTTTCTCAACTTGTGTTTCTTACCTTGGAAGGTAAATGTATTTACGTAATGTTCAGGTACTTAGTCATTCACCTTATTCTGATTACCTCTTATTAACATCCTTCTGATAACGTTTTCCCGTTGGAGAAAAGCCTGTTCATTCTAAAAAGATAAAATACATTCAACAACGATCCCCGCCATTCTGACGTTAACTTCTGTTCGGTTGCTGTTTTTCCAACTGGATGTGCAGTCATCTGTCAGAGCTAAAGGTAATAAATATTTGGGGGAATATGGCTATCCTCACCCTTGAGCTTTCTATCAAAGTCTCCATGGATTGGCCTGGTGAGAGACGGCCACCCTGGAAACTTTCGGGGTCGAATGATATGCACCTCCTTAGCCACTGTCGTGAGAGGACAGTGGAGCTTGGCAGCCTGACCATGGACTGGAATTTTCCCTACGCTTATAACATCAGTGGTCCCCCACCCTTGGACTGTTTCCCCTGATAGCTATATGTACTCGGTGTCGGAACTCCTCGCCCTGCGAGATTCTCCCCTCTCGCAGATTTGGCCCCCCACATTATCGAGGGCCTATCTCGATGACGGACTTTGGAGTCCGGAGAGATGGCATGGAGCAAGGAAGAATTTATGGGGCTTTTTAGGGAAATTTTTAAAGATTTTAAGGGGTTCTGGGGGAGGGGGTTGTAATTATTCTTTTAAAGATATTGGGAAGACGACTAGGGCGGATTGGGGGGGAAATCCACCAGGGTCAGAGCCGTGCCCGGCACAGGGTAACGATCTGGGGGGCACCGGATGAGGGATTGGGAAAGGGATGGGGGACGATATCTATGAGGGCTGTACCATCGGCACGGTGAATGGGAGGGGCAGATATGGCGGGAGCAGGGGACCACATCAGGTGTTGGGGACTCGCACTTGCTGTCTGAGAGCAATTGCTTGCCCCGGTCCCCAAGGCTCTGCTCGGATACTAGGTGGCTTAGATACTCAGGAGCTGGGCCTTCGGCTGATGCTGTGCAATGCCAGGTCCGTGGTCAATAAGGCCCCCCTCATCCACGATCTTATACAAGAGGGAGGAGCGGACCTGGCGGGTATTACGGAGACCTGGTTGGGCCCGGAGGGTGGCGTCCCTCTGGTTGAAATGTGCCCACCAGGCTTCAGAGCATTCCATCAGCCGAGGGCTCAGGGGAGGGGAGGGGGGGTGGCGGTTATTATTAACGAGGATCTGGGTCCGAGGGAGACCGCTGTGCCTCAGATAGCCGGATGTGAGTCCCTCCTTGTGAGGTGGGGCCGTGGGGTTCAGATGGGCTTGTTGCTTACGTACCTGGCTCCCTGCCGCGTGGCAACAGCCCTACCTGAGCTACTCGACGTGATAGCCACGGTGGCAGTAGATACACCCAGGCTTTTAGTCATGGGTGATTTCAACTTGCCATCCGTCGGTGAAACATCTGAGGTGGCTCGGGAGTTCATGGCTTCCATGACGGCCATGGACCTGACCCAGTTAGTTCATGGCCCTACTCACAGGGGAGGTCACACTCTGGATCTGATTTTTGTCTCTGGCCAGTGGTTGAGTGGTCTTGTTATAGGGGATATAGACATGGAACCCTTGTCATGGTCTGACCACTCACTCCTTCGCCTAGATCTTCGAACCGCGACCCCTCACCGCAGGGAGGCGGATCCAATTAGATGGATCCGCCCCAGGCGCCTGATGGATCCTGATAGGTTCCAGACGGAGCTTGGGCCATTTCCTGAGGATCTAGCACATGACTCGGCCGAGGACCTGGTAGCCGCCTGGGATCGGGCGGCTGGTGGGGCCTTGGACCGAGTTGTGCCTTTGCGGCCTCTGACCCGATGCCGATCCCTTGCGGCTCCTTGGTTTACTGAGGAGCTGAGGGAAATGAAGCGCCGGAAAAGACGCCTGGAGAGCGGTTGGAGGGCCAGTCTCGCTGAATCTGATCGAACACTGGTAAGGTCGCATATTAAGGCCTACCTAGTGGCGATAGAGACGGCAAAGTCTAACTACTTTTCTGCCTCTATTGCGTCATCAGGGAATCGTCCGGCCGCCCTGTTTAGGGTGACCCGCGCCCTGCTCCATCCGGGAGTGCGGGAGGATCCCTTAGAAGGCAGGGCGGAGGATTTCGGACAATACCTGTATGACAAAATCGCCCAGATCCGGGGGGATTTGGACTCTGACTGGGTAGATCAGGGCAGGGTGACGAGGAATAGTCTTGAGAATGTTATCTGGGAGGAGTTTGATGCTGTGACTCCTGATGATGTGGACAGGATTTTGGGGAGACTTAGTGCGGCCACATGTTTACTGGACCCGTGTCCCTCCTGGTTGGTACTGGCTTCCCGGGAGGTTACACGAGGCTGGCTCCAGGGTGTTATCAACACTTCGTTGAGTGAGGGTTACTTCCCCACCGCCTTGAAAGAGGCGGTGGTGAGGCCTCTCCTCAAGAAGCCGTCCCTGGATCCGGCAATATTGGCCAACTATCGTCCTGTCTCCAACCTTCGCTTTATGGCGAAGGTTGTTGAGAGTGTGGTCGCACGACAGTTTCCGCAATTCCTGGAGGAAACATCTTATCTAGATCCGTTCCAGTCAGGTTTCAGGTCTGGGCACAGCACAGAAACGGCATTGGTCGCGTTGGTTGATGATCTCTGGAGGGCTCGGGACAGGGGTTGTTCCTCTGTTCTGGTCCTGTTAGACCTCTCAGCAGCTTTTGATACCATCGACCATGGTATCATGCTGCACCGGCTGGAAGAGTTGGGGGTGGGAGGCACCATGTTGCAGTGGTTCTCCTCCTTTCTCTCCGACCGGTCGCAGTTTGTGTTGGCAGGGGGGCAGAGGTCGACCTCGAGGCCTCTCATTTGTGGAGTGCCGCAGGGATCGGTCCTCTCGCCCCTTCTGTTCAACATTTATGTGAAGCCGCTGGGTGAGATCATCCGTGGCTTTGGGGTGAGATACCACCAGTACGCTGATGACACCCAGCTGTACATCTCCACCCCAGGCCACCCCAACGATGCCCTTGAAGTGATGTCCCAGTGCCTGGAGGCTGTACGGATCTGGATGGGGAGGAACATGCTCAAGCTCAACCCTTCCAAGACTGAGTGGCTGTGGCTCCCGGCATCCCGATATAGTCAGTTGACTCCATCACTGACTATTGGGGGTGAGTCATTGGCCCCCACAGAGAGGGCTCGCAATCTGGGAGTCCTCCTGGATATGCAGCTGTCCTTGGAGGAACATCTGACGGCTGTAACCAGGGGGACCTTTTGTCAGGTTCGCCTGATTCGCCAGTTGCGGCCCTTTCTTGATCGGGATTCC